AGTCCTTTTCAATAGGATCTGAAAAAAGTAGTTGTATGATATTAAGCCCAGAAAACACGATAGGTGTAAGTAATTTACAACATGAATGGAACCAAATTCTATGGTTGTGCAACATCACTGAAACACCAAGTTAAAGAACAAGAAGAGATAGTACCAATCTCACAATTTGTTTATCTGATACTTTCTGTCAGAAGACATTGTGTAACTTATTTGTTGGGGTTTTTGAGAAACTTTCTGCTCTTATTTGCAGCAGACCTTTGAAAACTCACCTAACAAAATCTCCTTTGGGTCAAGTGTCTTTTTCTTGTCCAATAAAATTACTGAATAAGTTCTAAAGTCCCAAGAAGAAATTTTTATTTACTGTCTGCTTCATCCTAAAAGTTTGTCAGGACTTTCAAAACAGTAGCCTGCCAAAAGAACCTGATTTATAATTGCATTAAACCCATCAATGCTTAATCTGCTAATTTACTGTGTGTGCATTTGGGAGTAACTGATCTTGAAGCCAAGTAACATACTCTCGATATTGTACATTTTCTTCTTAATGAAAAATCTGAACATGTGTTAAATATAAAATTAAATGTAAATAGACTGCAAATGGAAAGAAACAAAACATCTTTTTTTCTCTGCAAGTGCATTTATTTTGGCTTTGCCAGAGGTTTTTCCATATATGTGTTTCTATACTGTTTCTGAAAAAATTGTTACCAGAAAAATACAGAGATTCCCTAAATAGCTCAGCCTATGTCATGCAGTCAAGGGTTGGTCAGGAATTAAGGCTTTGTATTTTTGGGTTTCATTGCTGTTTTTCTTTTTTAAATCGGAGTCAATTTAAGGTGCTTTGTTTGACAAACTTTTGCTGACTCAAAGGCACAGTTCAAACTCCGCATCAGTGCCCAGAACTGATGCTCCCAGCCAGGCTGGATGGGGCCAGGTGCTTCCCATCCTTGGGGCTGCCACCTGCACCCAGCTGGGCTGGGCTGGCTCCCCTGGGCACACCTGGAAGCCATAAAACCTTGAGTGGAGCCACTTTTCCTTAAGGTCCTTTTTGCATGGCTGGGGCTCTGTGCTTGGAACTGTGTGCTGATGTGCAGCTGTCTGTGCTCTGGCTGCCCCAAGCTGCCCTGCACCCTCCTGGCATCTGGCTGGTGGCATCTGCAGAGCCTCAGGCACTGTCCCTGCTCCTGTGCAAGCCAAGCAGATGGCAGCTCCCTGGATTGTCACAGTGTGTGGTGAGCAGTGTGTCTGTGTAAAGACTAATGAACTTCAGTCACTCTGCAACTGTGAATGCTTTAGACCACTGACATTTCTTTATGTATTAAAATACAAGAGGCTGAATGCTGTAAAACTTACCAAATCCATAATTCTTCTGCCTTTTGGTGCATTGGTTCACCAGTCTGCAAAACAAAAGCAGACAGTGTTTGCCTATAAGTCTTAATACTTGACCAAAACATTAATGTGTTCCAGCTTCTGGCATAGTGAAAATAGTTGTGGATCCTTTCAACTCTGAGTCTTAGAACAGGATTAAAATTGGTTGTCAGGAAAGAAAAAAAGCCTAATTTGCTTTGGCCTGGCTTGCTCCTGACACATTCATTCCAAACCAAGATAATTAGCATAGCAGAGCATTCCCAGAGTATGTGAATGTGCACTTCCATTGAGAGGGGATTTGCTGGCTGGCTGCTTATGGCAGCCAATGTTCTTGTCTAGGTTTTAATTTGTTTGTTTGTATGTTTGATGTGTTGTTAGGACTTATAGGATTGAAAAGCTTCCAAAAGTCCTATCCAGCCTCTCAAAAATACTACTGCAGAAAAATACATGTTTGTTTTTGGAAAATAGATGTTCCTTTTACAAGATAGGTTCTCAGCTGTGGTTTTGCTGGGGTACCTGGGTATCCAGTTAAAACTTTCAGCTGCTGGTCACTTGGCCAAGCTGACAAAAATTAATTTTGACTTATTTCAAATACACTTTGAGGCACTTTGCACTCTCATTTTGGAAAAAACTTGCAGCTTGAAAAGAATATATTAGGTTTTGAAAGCCAGACTGTTTCTTGCACAGAAATGGCTGCTGTGCTACCAGTTCCATGCACCTGCCGGAATGAGGGAGCTTCAGATTCCTTGCAGCATTCTCTGCCTCATTGCACACATTATATGAAGTGCTACGAAAATTGTTTCGTTTTTATTTCATATTAATGAAATGCTTTGGGATCTACTCCACTGTAAATTCCTGTTATTAAACATCACTCTTTCAGAGAATAAACTTCCTTTTATTATCAAAAGGAGATCCTGAAGATAAATTTGGGGCTTAGGAAGAGTAAATGTTTCCTTCATTGTCTGCAGGCAGAACACAGCAAATGGGGCTCAGGTGAACCTGCTGAGGTCCCCAGCTGAGGGGACCTGCCAGGCTTGGTGTTGTGTTCCAGACAGCTGCTCTGAGAACAGAGCTCAGGCCTAAGGCTGTGCATGTTCTTTATCATCCCTGTAAAGTGATGGAAAGGGCCACCAGGCTCAATGAGATGCTGGAATGGCTCGAAACAATCAAATTTAATTACTTTTTTCTTTCTTTTTTTTTATTCAAGTGATGATAGGGGAATGAAAAACATCATCAGCTTCAGAGGAATTTTCCAGTAGGAATTGGCTTTGCAATATGAATCTTGAAGGGATCAAAGGATTAAATAAATTGAGAGCAAGGGAATGTAAGGCTGTGCAGAGATGGACAAGAAGCCCTGTCCTGAGTGGACTTTTCTTTTAATGTTATAGTGTAGAATACCTGATACTATTCTGTACATACAGATACCTGTAGTGTAAGAATGTGTTTATACTTCCCACTCAGATCCTGTGATTTTTTTAGGCATCAGTCTAGCTAAGAACTGCAATATATTTAATTTTGATGAGGTGCTCGTTAGTTCACTCACTCCGCTCCATCCTCCACGCTTCATGGCTGATGTCTTTGATGATGATGGCACTAAATCATACACTTCGAATTTAGCATTACTTGGCTGTTTTTCTATAACTAATCCTAAAATGTTCTTCTTAACAATTTTATGTCTAGCAAAGGATCTATCTTTTGAAATTGTGGAAGTTAAAGTCAGTAAAAAGTCTGCTTTAAGCTCTGACCTTCTGCAGTCTCCAGAGGAAAGGCACAGCTCCTTTCATATTTGTCTCCTAACTCTGCCCATCAGTATCTACAGTACAACATTCAAACATATTTTTGACTCTGAGTTTGTGCATTTCTAGAAGTGTAGGGCTGTAAGTAAAGTAAATGAGGAAATTTTCCTGTCAAGCTGAAAAAAAAAACCAAAAGTCATGCCTGTAATCCAAAGAGGTCAAGAAAATAAGATAATCATTACATTTTGATAACAAAGCATAGTTGGTGGCTGCAGAGAAATCAGTTACTGTGGAAAACTTAAATAAACAGTTTGTACAGCCTCAGCATAAGAGAGTAGATCCACAGAGCTGCTTTGGGGGGTTCAGAGCCAGTAAACATCCTTATCCACAGCATTTAGCACCTGGTGTATTGGTATTGGTTCCTTTGTAGGCAGAATGCATCTGAAACAGGGAGTGCTGCTCTCTGCATTAAGGAGACTTCTTCAAAATAACAAGGGAATTTTGTCTTTAATAGTTGGCTTCTGTTTTCATAGTTTATTATATCATGATTGGATTCCTTTTGTGGACCCAATCTTCTTAATAGTACTATTCATCTCTGGCAAAGGTTAGACTTGAGTGAAATTAGGACTGAGATGAAAGAATAGAATTTATATTATTTAGCAGCTGGATGTGTCATTACATCAGAGTTGGTATTGTGTAGCAAATTGCAAGCTGTAGTGAAATTGCTTTAAAAAATATCTGTATATATTTTTCTAAAACTGTGATAAAGTCATTCAGCAGCGCATTGAAATGCATTTCTAGCTGAACTGTGATATCATATCTTTTTTCTTCCTGTGGTACAAGAACAGATGGCAGTTATTTTTCTTACCAGTCTCCAGCAAAGCTGCTGCACTGCTTTGCCTTCCCTTGTAAATGCTTTCAAGTGAAAGACAAGTACACACCACCAAAATGAAGCTGCATTGTAACACTGGATTGGGGTATCTAAAGCAAACTTTTCATCAGCTTGCAGCATTAGGCTGGTGATAATTACTTAACGTCCTATCAGTCAAGTAGTTCACTATGACAGGAAAATGAGCCGTTAGAGGCAATGGCACATTTTGCAATAAGTTTTTGGAGCAGATGTCTTTCTTCATAGACATTTTTAATGCAATAATTGAGTATTCTATAACTTGAACACAAGTGCAGTCACTCCCCAGGGACACACATTGGTGGGTTTGGAGATGCTCCCTGTGACTTTATGGCATTCCTGGGGGATTGTGATTGATCTGAGAACCTCAGCTGATCATTCAGTAGCTGGTGTGTCAAAAGGGCTCCTGCTTGTATATAATATTCTGTATATTATAGCAATATACAGAATCACACACAAAAGTGTGATTCTGTATATTGTTATAAGTACAGTTTAAATTGCAATGTTTTCTGAAGGATTTTGTTTTAAAATCATTGCTACCTTAGCACCAGTTTGGCAGCTCTGAGAAGGCTTGGTGAAAGTGTCTCTAAATACAACCTGGTGTAATGTTGCCTGCATCACCAGAAATGCTGAGTAGCTCAAGAAATGCTATATTCTGAAGTGAAATCATCTGTAGTTATAAATCTAAATGAAACCACCAAGTGCTGTAAATCTAGGGTTGCCTACCAATTTATGACTTTTTAGATTGCCTGCTGTAATATGCCATATTATAAAAGCATTGTTAGGAGCTGTATTTAATTTACTTGCTTTAAATTATGGTTTAGTAGACTTGGCAGCACTGGGTTAATGGTTGGACTCGATGATCTTAAAGGTCTTTTCAACTGAAATTATTCTAAATTAATGCTGTTCTGAAAATCTAGCTTTATTCAGAGAAGCTCTAATTCTTCTGTTTTATACAAACTACTCAAAAACTCTGGTGTGTCTTTATTTTACAGCCTTCGACAAAAGAAAGGCAACTTGGCCCAGAAGCACTGGGCTGGAGCAGCCAATGTGGCCAAGTGCAAACCCTGCCCTGTGGCACATGCCAGCACCATCTGCGGCTCCGACGGACACACCTACAGCAGCCAGGTAAGGGCACACCCACAGCACACACCTACAGCAGCCAGGTAAGGGCACACCTACAGCAGCCAGGTAAGGGCACACCCACAGCACACACCTACAGCAGCCAGGTAAGGGCACACCCACAGCACACACCTACAGCAGCCAGGTGAGCTCACACTCACAGCACACACCCACAGCAGCCAGGTAAGGACATACCTACAGCACACACCTACAGGGCACACCTACAGCAGCCAGGTAAGGGCACACACTCACAGCATCCAGGTAAGGTGACACACCCACAGCACACAGGTGAACTCTGCCTGGGGTCACACCCACAGCACCCAGGTGAGCTCTGCCTGCAGCCCCAGCTCCTGAGCAGCACTCAGCTGGGATGTGGGGTGAAGGTGAAATGCCTCTTGCTGTTAGGCAGTATTGAATTACACTCTTTGTTACCCTAGGAATGTTTTTTCATGTAAAAAGTGCTAATAAATGTAGGCCTTTCCATATTTGACAAACAGCAAATCAGAATGCCAAATTGCAATCTTGTGACTTTCTTGATTCATGTTTCTCTAAATAGCCTGTTCTCTTAATGAAGTAGAACAATTTTAATATTGATGATGCAACTGAAAAAGAAATATCATTTGATGAGATTGGCTTGTTTAGACAAGAGGATTTGGGGATAGTTTGTTTGGGGTTTTTTTAAGACTTGGTCTCCAAATCATAAAGTAACTTAGCAGAATCATTCTTCAGTGATAGATATATTTTTAATTGTCTCTTTTTTCCTAGACTGCATGGGTAACATATTACAATTCATTTAGCCTGTGGCTTTAATAGGCTTGTGTGCCAGATGCAGCATATATGGTACCATAAAAAATTCCCATAACCCAGTGGGGATAAATTGACTCATTGTTATACTGAAAATACGATCACCTTAGGGCTTGACTCAATAAAAGAAAATGTCTTCACAGCCATTCAGCATTCCAGATCTCCCATTAGCAAATAAAGCCTTCCACGCCTTGGACACATGTCCCAAAAACAGCACTTCAGGCACTGGAAAGCATGTTTTAGGGAATACCCTTAAGGTTCTCTTAAATTCATGCATACAAAGTAATGTTTAACAGCCAGTAAAACTACCTTTTAAAATCCAAAAATAGCCTTAAAAAAAAAAAAAAAAAACCAAAACTCAACAAACAAACAGGAAAATAAAGCTATCAGGGAAAAAAATTTCTTTGCTGTGTTGTGACAGCTGCATTATTTTCTCAGCTGGGCATCTTGAATTCTCCACTTATTAATGGACACAAATATTAAAATGCTGCCATGCCTTGGTAATTTCAGCTTCTCTCCTGTTCTGGCTGAAGGATTTGCATGGCCAGAAGGAGCAAATGAGAGCAGAAACTCGCATCTGTGCACACAGACTGCAGGAAAAATGGCCACATGTTGCCTGTTAAACAAGTTATTCTTTAATTCTCTCTAGGAGTGTGTATTACAGTAATGTAGCTTTGGTATTTATGGTTAAGGTGGGGTCATTTTAAAAACTTTTTCTGTCTGAACTCTTGAGTCCATAAGACATTCTGTAGTAAATAGATTTCATTTCATGTTCTGTCAATCTATGCACTCATTTCTGTGCATCTCACCTGCCTCTCTCACTGTATAAACACATTGTACCTGCCTCTCTGTTAGCTCCAAATGGGATTTTGGCCTTCTCTGTTTCTCACCATAAGATCTAACTGGTTTTCATCAACATACTGCCAATGTTATAAATTCACTGAGCTACTGTCATTATGATATAAGCCTGACAGCTACAATGAAGACATGAAACATTTCCTGGTGCTGACATGTTTGACTGTCAGAGACACTCAGAAGTTGCCTGTTTGGGTTTTGGGTTTTTTTTCAAAGGAGATTATTTTTAAAGATTTATTCTGAAACAACTTCATTTCATCTTTATTTATTGTATGTTTTACAATCAATTGCTCCCATTCTAGCAAAATTCAATTTATTATTTTTTTTAGAAGATTAATTTTGGTAAATGAGCTGAAAATACTTTGGGGATGGCATTAAAAAAAATAGTGTATGTTAGTGTCCCAACATATAATACTAGTCTATAATAAATAATAATAATAATAATAATATAGTACATAATAATAGTATATGTTAGTGTTTATGATCAGGAATTATCATTATGAGTATCTGGTATCTTTTACAAAAAAACCATACTGCTTCCCTCAAACTCACTGTTAGAATTCACCAGACAATGTGATTCCTTTTTCTTGCCTTCAAGTCACTAAAATCAAAGTTTTCTCAGTAATTTTCTTTCCCATGCCAGTGCTGTTGGCAGGAATTATTTCTGGCCCTGCAGTGCTGCCATGTTCTAGCCCTGACTGTGAGAAGGTACCCATGGGGACAGGAGTGTGGGCACTGCTTTGTGCAGGGATGTGTTTCCTGGTCCTGGCTCTGCATCTCTGAACGGGCACTGATGAGCTGGGAAAATGGGCAGGTTCCTGCTGAGCTTGTGAACAAAACATCGAGACAGGCCACAAAATTTTGGGGGGGAAAAAATCTTCTGAAAGTGCACATTGGGCTTTTGCTGCTGCTGGCAGCCAGGTGGGACAGGCAGACACAGCTGCAGGAGGGTCTGGGCTCTCCTGCAGGCACAGCTCAGGTGGGAGAAGGGATTTGGGCTCCTGGCCTGGCAGGGCAGCATCAAAGTGTTTCAGTGATGACCTGGGGCTGCCATCCGACAGCAGCAATGGACCTTCCCATTCTTTGTTTTCTGAGGAAAAAAATGAATGAAACGGAAAAGACACAACACAAGTATGACTGGGTGATCAAATGCAGATGAAACTTGGGTGTCAAAAAATGCCCAGTAATTCACATCAAGAAAATGCACACGTACTAAATATATATCTCACAAGCTCTCATTTAGCCATTTGATCCTGGAATAATTCCAGCTATTTCTCAGGAAATGTAGTAGACCTAGAGGCAAGAATTTCTTGGCAAAACTGGGGAAAGTCAACCAAATCAATAATGCAAGGGTTATAGGGGAAAAAATAACAAAAGATAAACTAAACCTCAATTTTTGAGCTTACTGGTCAATGTAGACAGAAGTTCAGGATGTTTAACTCAGCCTTGTTGAATTCCACCAAAGACATGGAAGCCTTCAGCCCCACAATTCATTTCTTGAGGGCTAGTCAAAGGAATCTTTTGTCTTTTTAATCTTCCATTGGAAAATATTCAGTGGTGTTGATTTCTAGCACAAAGACAAATGATAGAATGCTAAAAATTATAAAAATGCCATGCCCACATCTTGTGCTACAATGATTTAAGTGTCACTTAAACTATAGGAGGCACAAGGTAATGAGAACTTTGATGGCTCTAAAGTTGATTTAGCTTCGTCTTTGGGAGCTGTACTGCTTAAAAAATCTGACCAACCTTTAGGCATTAAACCTTTCTGGTTCTTTTTCTGAAATCTTGAAAACTTGATCTGGATTTCCTCATCTGCTACCCATAAGTGCTAAAGTGGAAATTGATAAGCCCCCTTAGTAGGCTGTAATGTGTGGTTGGGTTTTTTATTATTCTAGTTTTGTTTTCCAGATGAAAAACTAATTCTTCCAAGCAATGGAATTCTTCAGTTGCACCAATAATTCAGCACTTCTGCATTGAACACAGATGTGGTCTGTATGTACTCAGTCCCTGTACACTGTTTACAGCAACTGAAAAATTAGTGGTTTTTGAACTTGCAGAATTTGCTTTTATTTCTGGAAAACTTGATAAATGATCACTCTTCCCTGTGGGCTTTGAACTCTAAGAAGCTTAGGTTTATCAAAGATTGCACTGATTTATTTTCTCTAGTTACTGCTTGAAATGCAGGTATTTCAACATGTACACCATCTCTCACATAATAACTTTGTACAAAGAAGTTTCCTGGGTGTAACAGCTCCATTTAATATTGTGACAATACAAAGCACTTCCATAGGTTATTACAGGCAGATTTTCAAAGCTCTTGAAAGTACTAATGAATTAAGCTTATGAGGTACGTAAGCCCTGTAAAGAGCTCAATGTAATTAGTTAATGTTTTTGTCAGCAACACATTAAGAAGAATAACTTTGAAGATGTCAGTTTTACAGGAACTTTAATTAAGCTTGTTAATAAAGCAATTACATGAACATGACGATGACTGTACTTAACTAGTCAGAAAATGAAAATTAGGATCATCTTAAATTACAAAACATACCACCTCAATGACTAATGGTCCCTTCAAAGATGGAAAGGTACATTGGCATAATTATTATGTTTCTAATTAGGTACATTGTTGTTCTGCAAATTTTAATTAAATCATTGTGAACTAATTAAGTCCATAATCATGTCTCTTTCTGTTTGAAAATGTAAAAATCATGTCCTGTTGTCATAACATTAGGTAATAAATTTGATATTAAGGGATGTACAAGAAAAAAATTTCCAACAATCTCGAAACAGAAGAAAAAAATAACGACCAAAATAATGAGACACTGTTAGTTAAATGTGTGCAAAGTGAAGGCTGCTGCATTTAATTAGGGGGGGTCTGTATGCAGAAACACAATTAGTAAAGACTTGTTCAAGTGTCTAACTGTTGAGCATTTAGTGCAATGTGGTTTGGTTTTCCATAATCAATCTATTGGCTGCACTGCCTGTCCTGGAGCCCTGGGGTGCTGCTCCTCAACTGTGGTTTGCACAATCTTTCCTCTCTGTTATTTGTCTGAAGGCTTGCTTGGCCTCTTCTGATGGAAAACAAGATACTCAACGACTCAGCAAGCCTTAACACTTCTTGTGTGCCCACTTAGATAAGGGTTAGGTTAAATTCTCTGCTAACTTTTAGCTTTGGTCTGGTTTTGTAAGGGAAAACTAAGGAAATAAGAGAGGATGTGGGGGGGAGGAAAGTGAGATGTAACAAGATATGATTAAAAAATTCCATGGGCGAGAAAATCAATTAATCCTTATGCATCTGCTCCCTGTATACATTTTAAAGATTGTTGGTGGGAGGTACAAGAATA